CAGTCAGTCAGTACAGTCAGAACCACAGTCAGTCAGTACAATCAGAACCATACAGTCAGTCAGTACAGTCAGAACCACAGTCAGTCAGTACAGTCAGAACCATTCAGTCAGTTAGTACAGTCAGAACCATACAGTCAGTCAGTACAGTCAGAACCATACAGTCAGTCAGTACAATCAGAACCACAGTCAGTCAGTACAGTCAGAACCACAGTCAGTCAGTACAGTCAGAACCATTCAGTCAGTTAGTACAGTCAGAACCATACAGTCAGTCAGTACAGTCAGAACCATGCAGTCAGTCAGTACAGTCAGAACCACAGTCAGTCAGTACAGTCAGAACCATACAGTCAGTCAGTACAGTCAGAACCAAACAGTCAGTCAGTACAGTCAGTCAGTACAGTCAGAACCATACAGTCAGTCAGTACAGTCAGTCAGTACAGTCAGTCAGTACAGTCAGAACCACAGTCAGTCAGTACAGTCAGAACCATACAGTCAGTCAGTACAGTCAGAACCATACAGTCAGTCAGTACAGTCAGTACAATCAGAACCACAGTCAGTCAGTACAGTCAGAACCAAACAGTCAGTCAGTACAGTCAGTCAGTACAGTCAGAACCATACAGTCAGTCAGTACAGTCAGTCAGTACAGTCAGTCAGTACAGTCAGAACCACAGTCAGTCAGTACAGTCAGAACCAAACAGTCAGTCAGTACAGTCAGTCAGTACAGTCAGAACCACAGTCAGTCAGTACAGTCAGAACCAAACAGTCAGTCAGAACCACAGTTCTACAGAAGTAAAGGATGCTTCAGCCCTACAGGAACAGGAGGGGCGTCCTCATGTGACCACATGAGAACCCGTGTTTCCTCAGAGTCCAGCTGACGGACCTTCATGTCGATGAGGACCAGTTTCTGTCTGTAGCAAAGCTTGGAGGAAAAACACGCAGTCATGCTGGACGACCTGAGCTTAAAGAAGCAGCGACTTTTACACATGTAGTGAAAATGTCACGGAGAAGAGCGCGGTCGTCTCATCGGCCGGCTTATCCTTTAAACTAAGGCTGTTCTGGACCCGAAGGACTCAAAAGAAAATAAAGGTAACGTGTTGGTTTGTTTCACTTCACGGGGAAGGACAAAAATGTAGCGTTGAAAGCGACTCACCGAGCTAACGATGGTTCTGGTTCTGGTTAATTAGTGAACCGGTGCTTTGCTCATCTGTCCGCCGTCAGCCTGTTTGTTCTCCGGACAGATGTCACCCAGACTCCTCTGTGTCCTTATTCATATATGTGTTAACTGTTGGGGGTTTATGCTGTAGCTTATGGCTGTAAAAACGGTCGGAACCAGCCCGGTTCTGTTCCTCTGCAGCCAGGCCCGCTGACTGGACCAGGGAATACACCGTGCCAACGTAGCGTTAGCTTAGCGACGTGCTAACGGAACGGAAACAGCCTTTTTCCGTTTTTCTGTCWCAGTCAAAAAATAACGGAGCACTCTTTGATGTGTGTGTGTGTGTAGATTAAATAACACCAGGGCAAAAGTGAAACACAACACTGAACAGATAGTTTCATCGCGGGGACTTTGGCTCCAGTAAAGTTCTGGTTCTGTTTGCTAACAGGCTGAGCTCGAGTCGACCTGYTGTTGTGTAAATAAACAAACAAACGTTATTTTAGTGTAAAAGCAGACATATGCGACTTTTACTATGGTTCAAAACAACCTTATAAAAGAAACAAATTATTTGAGGTCACTGACTTCCGCAAAATCATTGATGCGTTTTTATGAAATCAAAGCTGACGATCAGGTCGATTTGCGACTAGTTTGCGAACGGCTTCGGGACAAAGTCTCCAAAATGTGTCGCTAAAGTTCTTGTTTTGGTGAGTCACGAAGGCTTGCCTTCATGTGGCTTTAATTTAGAACATTCTTTCCAACTGTTTGGTTGTAACGTCGTGAAACCATCTCAGTTTCGTTTTGGTTATCTCCAACGTTTCCGGAGAACAACAGCTTTATTTTGACACCAGCTGAACCACGCTGATGGTGATGACTATAATAATTACTGGAAAAACTGGTCCAAATCTGCCAGTCTTCATTTCAAGAGTACTAAATTAGATTAAATCATAAATGTTAGCTGCCAAGTAGGGTAGGGTAGGATGTGGGCAACATGCAGCTGAGAATATGTTGTTTTTCAAGTTGAGCAGGTAAAATAGGCAGTGATTTCCAAAACATGGACACTTTGCTTGCTATTCACTTAGTTGCAATTACTCCGAATTCAATTTCAGTGCAATGCAAAAAGTTGCATGTTTTCTTGCAATTTTGAGTTGCCAACTTGTCCGTCTTGAACAGTTCCAGCTCGGTGCGACAAATAGGCTTTTATTGAAATAAAACTGGCTTTGCTTCAAGGCTTGATGTCCATTAGGTCACAAACACTGAGAACTTGAGACTGCAACAGAAATTTTTACAGTTTTCCTACAATTTTGAGTCTGTAACCAGTCTCCAGTAGTTGCATCCGAGTGATGTACTATAATAATTTACAATCACGATAACACATTTTACTGGACGAGAAATTGTCCAGAGACCATGCACCTACAAATATCTGATGCCAGAGTTCACTTCGCTCTATAACTGTGTTTCCATCAAGGCTTTATGATGCGCATTTAGGAGTGTCGCATTAAAAATGCGGAAAAAAAGTCTGATGGAAACAGCAAAATTTAAAAAAA